GGGAGGGAGGGAGGGAGAGAAACATCGATGTGAGAGAGACACATCAATTGGTTGCCTCCCCCACGGGCCCTGACCGGGGTTGGGGATCGAACCTGCAACTGACGTATGTGCCCTTGACTGTGAATCGAACCCGGGACCCTTCAGTATGCGGGCCGGCGCTCTAACCACTGAGCCACACAGACCAGGGTGACCTTTTGAGTTTTCTTCTCTCTGGCAGTGATTTTCATTTCCGGTTTTTGAGTTTTAATAAGAAGGATGCTGTGGAGAAGAGTTCACAGCAGCCTGAGACTGCTGTCTTCCCGCAGCCTGCTTGCAGGACGGCCCGCGGCTGGCATCTGAGAATGTAGCCACCAGCCTTTCAGTCACTTAGTAGCCACCTGGGGTTTCAGATCAACTGTCGCAGTATCATGGTGCTTGTGCTCAAGTTGCCCCTATTTTACTTAATGATGGTCCCAAATTGCAAGAGTCGTGATGCTGGCAATTTGGATATGCCAAAGAGAAGCCGTAAATTGTATATACACGTGTATAAGGAAAAAACCATAGTATATACAGGGTTCAGTAGTATTTGCCATTTTAGGCACCCACAGGGGGTCTTGGACCATGTGCCCCTTGGTTAAGGGGGACTATTGTACTAAATCTTCACCATGGCTGTGACTGTAGGTGAGTCTGAGTCCTGTAGCAAATCTCTGAAAGTGAGGGTGGTCTTGGGGTCCCTTGGCACAGATGCCTAATGTTAAGGTTTCCTGCTGTCTGTAGCTCAATACTAATCGCTCCATGTGGATTGTCTCATTGAATCTTCCCAACAACACTGGGAGGTGGTCAGTGCCATCATCCCCATTGGCAAGTGCAGATCCTATAGTTCATGCATTTATTTCAGCATCTATTTTTTCCCCAGATGTGTGCACCTTACTGTATGTTATTTCCATTGTTCAGAGGAGAGTGTAAGTGAGAAAAACCACTGAGCATTTTCCCCGTCACCTTGTCATTTCAGGTACGAGCACATCCTCACAGAGCCGGACCCGGTCCCAGTGTATGCCCTGAAGCTGCTTGTGGCCATGACCGAGCACAACCCCGCTTTCTCTAGGTATGAGCACTCCGCAGTCCTCCTTGCTTCTCACCTATGAGATGAGTTTTAAATGTTCTGCAAATGTTAAAGACGATGAGATTCTAAAAGTCTAACACTCGAGTTACCAGAGTGGTGGTAATTTTTCATGTTTTATGGTTTGTAATGTCTGTCACTTACACTGTTTAGGGGCTTGTCATATTTTTATGCCTTATCGGAGTTGGCATCTTGTGGCATTTTTGATGCTTTAAAATTATAAATTTTTTAAAGAGAAAAAACTAACACATATTCTCTTTAAAATGTCAATCGTTGCCTCACATTGTACTCAACAGTTTATTACATCACTATAGTATTTACAGACTCTTACTTTCTACCGTTATATGTAGTTGACACCCTTTATTAAGTAATGGGGAGCTTTTGCCTTTATTGAAGGTACCGTGTGTGATGATGTTACATTTTTTAGAATAGTTTCGAGGATGGTGGCAGCTGTTTTCAGGCTTGCAAATAGGTTTGTCAGAGAGGATGCCCAGTTCCACAGAGGGGAAGAGAAGAGGAAGCCTCCTTGCTTTCGAATAAGAAAACTGGTTGCAGTTGCCTCGGTGTGAGCTGAGAGCCTCTGGGTTTAGAGCCACCTGTAGGCGCGGTGCACCTGTAGAGTTGCCAGTCAGTCTTTGACAGTTAAGACGCTAGATCCCAGGCCCAGTCACCTGGGTTTCCTCTGGTCTGCTGTCCTACCAGCAGTGGAGGAAAGTGCCTCCTGGTGCCAAACTTTTCTCAGATTAGTGTCTGTAAGTGTTTGATCTTTGCCATTCTGGTAGGTGAAAATTATCTCTTGGTTTTTAATTTCTAGTTTTATCACATTGTGATGAGATCATATTTTTGTTATATTTCTAACTTCTATTGTTTGTGGTCAGTTTTTGTGAATGTTCTATGTTTAAATGTTTATTCTAACCCAAACAAAGTAAGGCCTAACCCTGAAAAGTGTCACCCACCCTAATTTTGGAAGGCGCCTAAAATGGTAGCTCCTTAACTGATGATATTTTCCCCAGTGACTTGGTGGCAGTGGTTTTTAGGCAAAATGCTTGCTTGTAAGTGTATATCAGGAGTAGAATTCCTTTATTGATATGGGCAAATTGATTTCTAGCGATATAAAAAACCCATGACTCTTTTGTTACAAATTTAACTTATTTATTGGATTCTGCAGTATTGCATTCTTTGAAGGATTCTCATCTTGATTTAGCATTAAGAGTTCAGAGCACCAAGTGATAACTTGGAACATTAAACCATCCTATGTCAAGTAAAGCATTTATTTTCTTACTGTGCTTATTCTTGTTTTATAGGGTTTTTAGTAGATAAAGAAGTCTTCAAAAGCTCCGTCATAGTACAAATTGATCAAATCTACATTGTACCTGATAGGGATTTTCTTAAAAAAACACGACGGCCCTGGTCAGTGTAGCTTATTATTGGGTTTATAGCAGAAAGGTAAATTACTTGCCACGCTGGTCCAATTTTACTGTTAGAAGGAATGTGTTAAACTCCCCTGAGCTCTGCCCTTTTGTCTCTCCTTAATTTTACAGTAGGTTGCACCAAACCATTGCTTGCAGGGAGAGCAGTGCCCCAGTAGCTAGTTTCCATTAAGAAGTAATTCGTTTCAGCAAATCTTTCTTAGCAAACAAATTAAATTTCAACTTCTTGAGTTCTTTTGGAGCAAAATTGAGCTCTTTTCCTGAATTGCAAAAAAACAAAAATTTGTATGCTCTTATCTAAGAAATATCACTTTAGTTTGCTTGAAAAATGTTAGAGCTGTTCGTTTTATGGGGAGATTCACAAATATGGTGTTTTAGAAGAGTGAAATTTGTTGAGCTCTTCAGTGGAGTCCACGGTGAATCCAAGGTGTAACCTTCAGTGAAAAACACTTCTGCCCTTACAGACACTAGTCTTCAACCTACTTCCCTCATTGGTTTTGGGTTCATGCTTTCGTCCGTCCATCCATCCAACCATCCAGCCAGCATCTAATCAGCAACTACTGAATGAAACCAGGATAAGTGATAATTAAGATAAAGTTCTCACCCTCAAGGTACTTAGAAGAGGGTGCAGACTTACCAGTAGATGTTTATGAAACAGTGTAATGATGTCAAAGGCACAGTCGTGCTCAGAGGTTATGGGAGAACCTAAGGGAATTTAACCCAGCCGGCTGTATGATCTTGGCCACGTTGTTTAACCTGTTTGACCAGAGATCCCCCCCTGGAAAATGGGCTACAGAAAATGCTGTGAAACTATTCCCCCATCCTTCACCCTCCTTCCCCTCTCTTCCTCCTTTTCATTCTGATGAGAGGAAGGAATATTGAAGAGGAATTCCTGGGAGAGAGAACCCCTTCGCCGGAAGATAGAAATGTGTGATGATACAGATTGAAACCAGAGCTCCACACCCTGCAAAGTAATGAAAAAATAACGTTTTCAAGAACACAGAACGTGTGGTATTGGTTTGACTTTGGATAGCAATTGTGGGAGCCACAGAGCCACCCCGGGCACGAGAGGGCTTCCATTTGAGTTTGACTTTGAGTTTATATAGCTTAATAAAATTAGGTTTTGCCATGTTCTGATGTATTTCAGTTTACATTTTGTAGTCTGGTTAAAGGAAAAGCCCAAATTACCGAGATGTCAGCAATGCTGGAAATGTCATCCTGTTGTTAAAATAAACCAGTTAGGTGTTTTCTCCCTCAATGAGCTGAATTTCCATAGGTATTTCCTCTGATGAAATCTCAATGAGTGAAATAACTGTAATAAAGTAAAATTTTATTGTTAGGATGAGAATGAATTGATTTCTCCAGGAATAATTTGCTGCTTTGCAGGTGCCTGTGGAATTCAGAAAGCCTCGAAATGAGAAGCACGTCAGTCTCCGGCCCCGAGGCTCCCATTTTCATTTCAGGGTCACTGGGATGTGGCTTTCCCATCCTCTCTCCCAGCACTTGCAGGATAAGATACCAGGTTTCTCCAGCGGGCACTGAGCCTCTCAGCATCCATTCTTTTTTTCTTTTTAAAAATTTTTAATTATTATTATTTAATCCTGACTTGAGGATGTGATTTTCTTGATTTTAGAGAGGGTGGAAGGGAGAGGGAGAGAGAGAAACAGCGATGTGAGAGAGAAACACTGATTGGTTGCCCCCCACATGCTCCCCGATCAGAGATGGACTTGGCAGTCCGGGGATGTGCCCTGACCTTTTGGTATTTGGGACGATGCTCCAACCGACTGAGCCGCACTGGCCAGGGCTGGGCATCCATTCTCTTTCCCTTTTACGGACCTCTCCCATGTTTGGCTGAGACAGAGATCTTGTTTCTGGCAAAGCCTAAGATACTTACTTTCTAGCCCTTTTCGGGAAATGTTTTCTGACCCCTGATCTCAAGGAATAGATCTTTTTGTCGTTACTCACGTGGACACAGAAATACTAGAATTTTAGAGCTGTATGGGGCTTTGGAGACCTTATGGGTGTTTTAAAATGTAGGCTTTTAAATTATTCAGGTTGGTGAGGTCGAAGATCAGGAAGCACCTGCCTTTGAAAAGATGCTTCGCTGCACACTCACAGATCCCTAGAGGCGGGGGCAGACCAGCCACCTGGGCCCAGGGGGGAAGCCCTGGGAGCAGTCAGGGGGCGGAGGCAGTGAGGAAGCTGGAGCCTTTCTGTAGCTCACAGAGGTGTGTGTGGGGGGGTGCGTGCGCAAGCTTCTTTAGGGTTAGCTAGTTTGAATGATTTCTCTGCGCTGGGCGGAGTATGGGCTGGTCCCTAGCTTGGGGTGATGAGGGCAGGGAATAGTGACCCAGAGTGTAAAGGAGGTGGTTGGGGGGACGGGGCAGTCCCTCTAGAGTTAGCAAGGCCCCAAGAGTTCAGAGCATCAGAAATACAGAATGAAAAGGCGTGGTTAGTACGCTGGACCAGTGTCTTCATTTTATACTTGAGGACATTGAGGCCCTCGAGGGAATCTGTGCTCCAAACCTCAGTTACTTCAACGCAATCGGATTTGGATCCAGACCCCCTTCCTGGTGCGTTGTTCTTTGCCCCGCCCTGCAGAGCCACCTTTTTACAGAAACCCAGGTGGTATCACAGTGCACTTTGAAGTTGAACTGTTTTAAGTTTCATGGTGTTGCATTACTTCTAAGAGGGGTCCAGTTCCTCAACACGGTCATCCGCAACCTCACGTGGCTCTGATAACAGCCAGCACGTGCTGCTCCTTTGCTTCCCACGGCTAGGTTCTGACCCCCGTCCCTCTGAGTTCATCACTGCGGCAGCTGCTGGCACAGTTCTGCTTAGTAACATAACCCTGGTTCCCGGTTCAGTTCAACCCCTTCCTTCCCCCTCCACCTAGGTTTTGAACCCTCCTCTACTCATAGTTAAATCACACTCCCAGGGAAGAAATCCCTCATTGCGCTGATCCTGATGTAACTCATCTAACTCCCACAGTAACTATGAGTTTTTACATCAGCACTCGAGGAGCGAGTGTTAAATTAATTTTCTCATTCCACCTCTGTGTACTGTTTCCGATAGAATTATGGAAGGACACCAACCTAAGACCTTAGGAGTTTGATCCAAGGCAGCCTATTTTTTTTTAATGATTTGTGAGGGAAATCAACAGTGACTGAATTACTTGTTTACCATCACAGAGATTTCCCCTAAATTTTTGGTGACCTGCTAAACATTTCACTGCCCATCCTTAGTCTGTGCAGTTCGGTTGGGTTCACTGAGACGGTTCGTCTCTGTCGTTAGAAGCAACCTAATCTCATGCCAGCCCTGTGTGCTGGGCGCTCGTCACTTCAGTTTTCCTCCTGTGACTTGCATGGTTTTGGTGACAGTGGGGCTGGGCGAGAGGACCGAGAGTGGCGCGCTGGGTGCGCTGTGTCAGGCGGGTGGTCAGAGCTCCTTGGGAAAGGACATACAGGGCTGAGGGGCGTTGGCTGGCCGGGTTAGTGCTAGCTTCATTATTAAAGAAAGAAGCCTCTGGCTTCCAGGGACATTCAGGGGGAGGGG